TATTTTATGGGCTATTAGGCGCTCTGGACTATAAGATGCACTGTCATTAAATGGTCTATTTTCGAACTTTTTTCACAAATAAACCGCACCGGACTTTAAACGAAACACAACAGTTGGATGGGCCAGTGGGACTTTGTTTGTGGCGTTCACGGTGACTCTGGGCTTTGTTCAATTGTGGCGCGTAGGGCGGGTGCTGTCTGGGACCGATGGATTGTCGGCGTGTTCGCAGTGACTCAGTTGTTCAGTTGCGTCTAGAAGTGGCACATTGCACTTGCTTTTTCGGTTCCTTCCTCCGTTCCGTTCCTCGTCGGCGTGGAGTGATGAGTGTGGCTGTGGGTGTTTTTCGCTGTGCGGTCGCTGTCTGCTCCGTGTATGTTTGCGTGCGCTGTGGGTGGTGCAGCTTTATAGTTTACTGAAGTCATGATGCGACACCTGAGTGGATTCGTGTATGGGGCGCTCTGGATTGCGGGGCCGCAGTCGTTTTTTGATGCAGTTAGAGGTTTAAGACCGCGTCTAATCACCCGGAAAATATGCTAAATGGGTACGTTTCTTCATAAATCGGGGCATTTCTTCCCTAAACGCCTCCCATTCCCGTTTTTAGCTTATGTCCCCTTCCAGAAAAAACAAAACACAAAACAACTATACTGTACTGCCTACTTTCTTCCTTGATAGGCCACATAGCCGTAGTTCTACAGGGAGCCAGGGGTTTATGTTTATATACTTAGCAGACGCATTTATCCAAAGCGTTTCCCAAAAGCAGATTTGTTAACCTGTTATAGTAACTTAGTTGTCGGTATCAACAGATAACGTCAAAGCTCATGCCGTACTATCGTTAACTAACTTGCTAACTTGGTTGCTTTCATGATCAGTGTATGTACCGGACAGACTCTGATCACATTCTAATATAATTCAGTTTATGCACGTTTAACATGATGCTGGAATTGCTCAAATTGTACAAATAAATGTGTAAATATGTTTATGAACATAACCTCTCATGAAACACTTGTGTTGCCACTTTGCTTTGACCATAGACAGTTTAAACTTTTGCCAAGAAGAAGCAAAAAAGCGGAAGAGTGCAAAACTCTTTCTGATTGGTTGATTACACTCTACAGGACGCCCATTAGGGAGTTTCTGTTGCACGTCTGGAACGCCCAGGCTGCAGGCCGACCCTCCTCGAATTTTTATCAGTTCACATGGGGACACAATGCACACATTAGAAAACACTGTCAAAAAGATTTAAGATAGCCTGAAATTCCAGAAAACAAAAAACTGATTTATATTAAACACCACATTTTCAGGAGCCTGTGATCAATATGAGCATTCATGCTCCTGTTTAGATGTTTGATTTACAACAAAAAAAAAAAAGTGACTGTTATGCACCTGTTGTAGTTCCAACTAACTTAGTTCTATGGTCAGATAGTGTTAAAACAAGGCTCATATGCAAAGGTGGGACTTGCAGGTCATGACTTGGACTCGAGTCAGACTGAAGTCACTTGACTTAAAATATAAGATAAAATGGACTAAGACTTGGGACTGGACTTGGACTTGAAGCTCAATGACTCAGGACTTGAGTCGACAAAATTTGGATGCTTCTCCTAAAAAAATATGTTTTTAGAAAATGCTTTCCTCTTTTTAGTTGATAAATGTGGTGCTTAATCGTACAGGAACAAAATGGAATATGTCCCTCTCCATGTTTTGCTTTGGATGTAACTGAAGTACTGTGAGATGGTATCCTCAAAAGTACTACAGTAATATACAGTACAATACAGTAAAACAGAGGAAACTACATAGGACATGATCCTTAAATTTCAGTGCGAACTGCACGACAAAATTACTGTTATTAAGCACTTTTAAATTGGAATTCTTTTTGTTCTGACTGTAATGATTCACACCAAGATATTGTCAAGACATTTAAAAAGGATAAATTTGGATTTCTACAACTCTTACATAAATAATCATCTATAAATACACCATGACTTTATTTTTAGTTTAGTTAAAAAGTCATATAAATTGCAAAAATCAAAGTTATATTTGGTACTTGAATTGGACTTATGGGCCAGTGACTCGAGACTCGACTTGGACTTGCCAGTATTTGACTTGGGACTTGGCTCGGACTTGAGGTCAAAGACTTGAGACTTACTTGAGATGTGCAAAACAATAACTCGGTCCCACCTCTGCTCATATTAAAGTCTAGAGCTTCGGACAGAGCAGTGCCTACAGTTAGCGTCATATCCCCGGGGAAAGTTGCTGACGTCTGCTCCAAAGTATTACTATCCTTTTTACTTTGGTCCTTGTGTTCTTTCTCTGCACCAGGCCCCTAATGGACTGGAAGTGGACTGAACCAGGTTAACAGCATCACTCAAAACTCCACAGGCTGGACCTTCTCGAGTGGTACACCGAATCCTACAATTTAAGAGATTTTTTACAACCCTGTGATCAATATTATGTTCAATTCCAGACTGAGAACTCCACTCCACTCATCTGGCACTGCTTCCTTGGCAAAGCTTTGAACACATTTAGCCAAAGATGGAATTTTAAAAAGCAGCTTTGCCCATCTTACACTAATTTTTGTACCCATTTTTTTTTTTCCAATTTGGGAAAAGGATCCATGTGTAATTTGTCGTGCTTTTAAGTATCAGTCACTCTGGCAACGGAGGATAATCAACTTGTTTTTTGTGACAATTATCCTTTAATTCAATTTTTTTTTAGCTTCAGCCTTACAGACGACAGACATTTCCTGCTGTTTTACAATGGAATACAGCACGTCATAATGATGATTTCCCCCAATGTTCCGGTTTTATTAGAGATTTTGGGAAGCGCTGTGTGTAGAATCTGCTCGTATTGTTTAAAAAAAAAAAATCTACAATCTCAGCTGAACATGGATTGCAGATAGAAGATGCCCATACACTATATATACATAAATGGGCCTTATTTTGGTCTTAAAATGTTCGTATTAATCCGCTTTACATGATCCTGGTGTTTTTATTTTGCTATTTAGTCCGTTAATCAATTTCTATTCCTAATATGAAAATGGCTCCAAATTTGCCACTATAACTGCAAGCCTCGATGAGCTTCATTTGACTTGGAGCCGCACGCTATGGGTGATGTCACAATCCCTCAGTCCACTTCTTTATACAGTTTAAGGCGTAAACATACAAGTTTTTGACTGTATATATAAATAGACATCGCTAAACCACTAACAACTGCGTTCCAAATAGAAAGTGAGCATAGGAGCGTTTCTGGCTCCATCAACTCTGGCTCCAATTCACATTACACTGAAAATTTGTCACACCTCTTTCTCTAACTGCTGCTGTGAGTCTCGTCATTTTGGATTTAAAATGTTCGTATAACCCGCTCTACGTTATCCTGGGGGTTTGATTTTGCTATTTTGTCCATAAATCCATTCCTATTCCTAATATAGGACCGGCTCCAAATTCGCCACTATAACTGCAGGCCTCAAATGAGCTTCATTTGACTGGAGCCGGATGCTATGGGCAACGTCACACTCACTTAGTCCACTTCTTCATATTATTATATTATTGTATTACACAATCTTTGTACAAGTACATGTTCATGTACAAGTTTGTCTCATTTTCAGGATATGAACAGGCCTCATGTGAAGCTCAGAACCTCCAGAATTACCTCCCTGAGCTGCAGAGGCTGCACTGGCACTGGTTCATCATTGGTGCAGGTGCTGGGGTTTAGGTAGTGACCATTCAGATCAGAGAGAGGCATTTTAGGGTTATGGCATAGACTGTATATATAAATGGACATAGCTAATGCACTAGCTGACATGTTCCAAGTAGGAAGTGAGCATGGGAGCACTTCTGGCTCCATCGACTCAGGCTCCAATTGACTTTACATTGAACAGTTGTCACCCCTCTTTCTGTAACTGTAGCTGTGTCATTTTGGATTTAAACTCTTTGTATTAACCTGCTTTACATAATCCTTAGGGTTTTATTTCATTATTTTGTCCGTAAATAAATTCCTATTCCTAATGTGCAACTGGCTCCAATTTCGCTCCCATAACTGTCAGCTTCGTTGAGCTTCATTTGACTGGAGCCGAATGCTATGGGCGATGTCACACTCACTTAGTCCAATTCTTTATACAGTCTATGGGCTACACATATATGTTTGTCTCATTCTCAGTATATGAACAGGCCTCATGTGAAAGCTCAGAACCTCCAGAATTCACTAATTGAGCTGCAGAGGCTGCACTAGCACTGGTTCATGATTGGCTGAAGGTAGTGATTCAGATCAAAGAAAGTCCTTTTAGGTTTATGGCATAGACCGTATATATAAATGGACATAGCTAACGCAGTAGCAGCTGCGTTCCAAACAGGACGTAAGCGTGGGAGCACTTCTGGCTCCGTCGATTCAGGCGTTTGACTTGATTTGAACTGTCATCCCTCTTTTTGTACCTGCTGCCATGAGCCTCGTCATTTTGGTCTTAAAATGTTCATATTAACCCACTCTACATGATCCTGGGGTTTTTATTTCGCTATTTTGTCCGCAAGTATAAATAAATATTTTGTCCGCCTGGTGGTCTCTAACCACCAGGAAGCTAGGAATCTGTGTCTCCCTAATGAAGAACTTTGGACTTTTCTTTTTAATTTATTATTATTTAATTTTGAAGATTGAGAGTGAGAACATAATTTAAATTTTTCATGTGTTCATATGAAAATTTGACAATAAACTTTTGAATTGAATTGAATTTGAATTCCAACTCCTAATATCCAACTGGCTCCAAATTTGCTACTATAACCGCAAGCCTCGATGAGCTTCATTTGACTGGAGCTGAAAGCTTTTGGTGATGTCGCACTCATTTAATCTCCTTCTTTACACAGTCTATGGTTTATTTATGAATATTTTTGTAATTAAGACTTAAATCAGCATTAAAATTGATATCAGTAAGAGCTATATTTGATTTTGATTTGAACGTCTCATATTTCCACACACATTTAGGTCTTGTTTATTTCAAAATTCACACTCAGACTCACCCTGTTCCAGAACATGTTGGTAGAGTTGCGGCCACAGTTTTGGTAGTGCTCCTGGCAGCATCGGTCTGGCACCACCTTCTCTTTGAGCGCCTCGTGCCAGTCTGTGTACGCGATGACTCCGCAGCACTTCCACTGTCGGGACACGCACACAACCAAACGCGTTACTTCAAAGCTAAAGTGTTTTAATTAGCATTTGTTTTAGCGTAAGTAATGCCAGATCGCACATTAGCTGGAATAATTTTGCATATTTAGAATGAATGCGTTCGCTTTGGAGGTTTTTATTGTGATGCTAATGGGTCTTTTTGTGTGACATACCTCGGCTTGAATGATGTTCCAGGCGTTTCGAAGGCCTATGTTGTTTTCAGAGTTGTACAGAGACAGTCCGTCCTTCAGGTCCTTTTTGGCGTTCTCGCTCACCTGCGAACAACAAACAAAAACACGGGGATGTTTACTTTCACTTTTAAAAGGGCTAAATGCATGATTATTGATTGATCGTTCTATTCCGTTTCAGTACTTAACAGCCCAAATAAAAAAAAAGATGGAGGGCAGGTCTGTTGTGATAAAAAAACTGAACAAAAACACTTTTCTTTCTTAATGGTGCATGGTGTGACTTTATTTTTGGGGGTCCGTCACCTGTTTTTTTCTATGGAGATGTCATTGCTTTGCCTGAAATGTTCCACAGTATGACATTAAACAGCTCGCCGTTAAATTTACGAAGTTACAGGAGGATTTACAGCTGAAAAATACCTAGAAAAACAAGCATTCTGACTGTGAGCAAGGTCGCCTCTCCACAGATCTGACCTGTAACTCGGTTTAGTCTGGTCTCCATGAAGATAGAAAGGTTTAACAATAAGCATTTCATGGACCCTTCCACCAGAAAAGTTACACAATGCACCTTTAAAGCCACTATATATAATTTTTTTTTAAAATAGACGAGAATAAAACCATATTGTTCAGTGGTAGTACTTTTATTGGACTTAAAAAATTTTGACTTTTAGTTTTATCTGACAATCGAAGAAAAAATACAAAATGGATTAAAACAACATATTTGAAGGATTAAACAACAAAAATAAGTGAAATCAGTGGCTCATATTCCACTATTTTCTGATCTACTGTGTGTTAGAATGTTGTTTTCTTATCACAAACATACAAGGAGCTGTGTTTTGTTTCATTCACACGGCTTAAATATGCAGGATTTGTGTTACATATGTGTTCTTTTCTCAAATGGAAATCACTCTGTTCCATATGGAGTAAGAAAGTTTCAGAAATACTCATGTGCATAGAATAGAAATCCGTGCATATTTGGCTGTAGTTGAGCATAAAATAAATATCCGTAAACTCTCGAACGAGTCCAGTCGTATATAAAATGTATTGTGTGTATTTTATCCATCAGAATACAAATTGAAAAGTTATGACATCAAGAATTACAAATCATTAAACTTTTCATTTCTTTTCAGTTTCCATTCAGTTCTGATGGATAAAATACACACAATACATTTTATGTATGGCTGGACTCATTCGAGAGTTTATGAATATTTATTTTATGCAGAACTACAGCCAAATATGCATGAATTTCTTATTCATCAGAAGGTTTCACTTTGTGCAAACCGTCTGACCTTGCAGCGCTAAGATTCTTTCGTTCAACAGTAGGTAGGTACTTTTTTATTTAACCAATTGCTGCTATTTGGTCGAGACGTATGTAATGCGCCGCTAACTGGTATATTAAACTTTTCCCAAATCCCGTAGGAAGAAGAGCAATAACGTATTTCCCCTTGATAAAATTCACCAAACATTCTCTTTGTTCCGGCTTTAAATCCTCGATCTCGGGAATCGTTGCCAACACAGTATGTCTGACTCTTCGCTGATTGGCTGGTGCTCGGACTCCCACTTATGGGGTTTTTGGGAAAGGTCTAGTGTATTCCGATTCTTGACCAAGTCGCTGGAGAGAAATTAAATGGAGCAGAGGCAGTAGGTGGCACCAGTCTGACTATGGATTTCTATCCTATGCACATGAATATTGCGTGTCTTGCCCAAGGACACAACGACAGCATTTATGTGTAGAAGCAGGAATCGCAACATCAACGGATCTTACGGGTCAACTAATAATGTTTTGGGGTGTTTTTATGTCAAGAACGAGATTCAAAGCGCCAACCTTGATGTCAAGTTGGGGTGTGCAAAAATATTAAAATGTAGATATATCGTATCATTTAATGTGATGATACAGTATCGATATCATTGGCTGATGTATCGATATATCACCAAGAGTATTTTTTGGTATATTTTTTTTTTAAATTATTTTGTTATAGCGCTACAGTTTTGTAGCCAAGGTGGTGCCAATTGGATATTTTTAATAATTGGACTACACTAGATGTTTCGCAAAAACCCCGGAAAAAAAAAGTGCGAGTTTGGGCACTGGCCAATCAGCGAAGAGCGAGACATTCTGTGTTGGCAACAATTCCCGAGATCGCGGATTTAAAAAATGACTATGGATTTCTATCTTATGCACATGAATATTTCTGAAAACTTTCATACTCCTTAGTTCCACCTTGTGATGTCATGTGATAAAAAAAGGAAGCACTTCACTTTGTTTTTAAACTCCACACACCTTCACTAGAATCATTTGGATTATTTCAGAACTGGAATTGCCAATCTCTATCTCTTCATGACATCACAAGGTGGAAACGAGCATTTTGAGCTTTGGAAATGTAAACAGACTAATAACAATAAAGGATTTCTCAAATATGTGTGAATGAAACAAACACAACTCCAGTTTTTTGATGAGGAATCAGCATTAAACATGGCTAAAAACTCACAAAAGTCAATTTTATGTCATGTAGAACCTTTCGATAATCGAGAACAGACTTTTCGCATCTGTAAACATTTCTTTCATTTGTCCTTTGTCTCACACACCCATTACGTTTTTGTAATTAACTTGTATTTACACTGTCTGTATTCAGCGTATTGAATCCTGCTCTCACATTCAGACATTGTTGTTAAGCCTTTTGAATCTCAGCTTTTGAATTTCGGCTTCTGCTGTAAATTGAGTTATGATGTAATTACTGCTTTTCGACTGGAGCGGGCCGTTAGTGTTTGCATGAGCACATCCGCGCGCATGCTTCGCAATTTGTCAGCTTCTTCTTCTTCCTCCCCCCCATGAAGGATAATGGCAACGTCCGTATCGCGTAGTGAAGCGGAAAATGTTTTTAAGTTGGACTGATCGCTGGTGGCACGTGATGAGTGAAGTAATCAAGCTAAAAATGATTGGCGCTAAGATGACTTTGAGAGGTGCGGGGAGTGATCAGTGAGCTAAACATAAGGACCATCTTCGGGGAAATTGGATGCAGATTTGATACACTTGATGCGGATAGATCCTACATGCCCTTCAGCGACGCAGGCTAATCGTTTTCCTCATGACTGCCCCCAACTGTGCTGAGGGTAGAGCTGCAGCTGATGGAGAAGAATATGTGATGTCTTAATGAGAGAAGCACAGAGCATCTTAACACCGAGCTGGGGCTGAGGGAGATCTGCAAACTGCCAACGACACAGATGCACTTTATATTTGGGGTGGCAAAAACATTAACCACGCTCACACCAGTTTGATCTGTGTGTCGCTGAACTGAGTTTAATACATTATAAATCTAGAATGGTTCTCGCTGAAAGAGATCGGAAAACGTGAAGCGTCATGATGACTTTTTGACTATTTGAATCTGATTGTTTGAAGCGTCGCAGCAGCAAAACAAGCCAAAAAAAATACACTTTTGTTAAATCCAGTTGAGAAAAAAGCGCAGACATCTTCCCTGTCCACAAATGCACTACCGTATTTTTCAACTATATGTCGCTTCGGAGTTTAAGTCGCACCAGCCAAAAAATGCGTAATGAAAAAGAAAAAAACATATAGGTCGCACTTTTTGGGGCAAATCTTGAAAGTCAAGTTCTAGTAATGACAATAGAACAGAGAACAACACTGTTAACGTCACATATGAACAGTTCTTCAGATAAGTATAGCATAAACAATAGAACAGAACAAGTTTACCAAACTCTCCATCTCACTCCAAATCACTAAATCCATTGAATTCTTCATCGGTGTCACTTCGGAGCAACTCCGTGACCTCCGGAGGTAAACAGAGCGCCACTTCCTCTTCTGTGTAGCTGTCGTCAGACTCAGCATCAGCTCCAGTTAGAATTATTCCAGTTTTTCTGAATCCTGACAGGATGGTTTCGGTGTCATTGAAGTCCAGGCTTTGTCCATCCATCCAGTGACTTCCAGGAAAGTTGCATGGTGCATCCTCCCGGTGTCACAAGTTTCTCACTCACCCTTTCTTTCTTCTGCTCGATTACTGTTTTCAGCTGGAAAATATGATTTTCTTTTTGTGGGCATTTGTGTTCAGTCTTCTCAGTCGTCATTATAAGTTTGCTGAATGTTAAATTGTTCAGTGTAACAGAAGTTATGGTGCAATCGACTGACATGATACAGACAGGACAGAGGCTCTTTCTGCAGGAGACATGTGCAGTAGAGTGATGTGGCAGTGGTACAGGAGTAATAGGAGTAGCAGATACTGACACTGGTGCGACCATGGAAAGCTTTGGCAGATTGTTAAAGCCATTGCTAATGAATCCACGATTTTATCATAACTACACCGAAAGTCGTCATCCGTCTGTTTCCAAACTTCTTCCAATAGGCGTGAATAGCCTCAATCACAAAGTCAATTTCAACACTACTGCTGCATCTTTTCTAATAATTGTCACTTCACTGACTGGTTAAATCCCATGTCATTCAATAACATAAAAGTCAGAGGTTATGGTACGGCGACCCACTTTTACTTTCTGGGGCTTTTAACACCATGTGAGTTGTGTGGTCCTCTGTGTCTTTTATTTACTTTTTAATTGGTTACTGTTTTTATCTATTTTATTCTTTTTAGCACTACTTTTATTCATCAGTTTTATTATTCTTTTATCTATTGTTTCTATTAGTTCCTTTTGTCTGGAACATAATTCTGCTGACTTTTTAGAATTAAATGTGTAAATGTGAAGCACTTTGGAAACTGTCTTGTTTTTAAAATGTGCTATACAAATAAAGTTGGATTGGATTGCGCAACAAAGCTCCTAATAAATAAACTGCATCATTATTATAAGACAATAACATTAAAAAAATCATTGTCACAAGGCTCAGACAGCTTCATTTTCATCGTCACATCTCCCAATTCTATGATATTTGAAACCGTTTACCAACATAAACAAACAAAAGTATATTCATCTCAAATTCGTTGTGTGTGTTTCTACAGGAATGCGCGTCTAATGTTTGTGTGAATCGGATGACGTGAGCTCTTAGACAGGGACAGATTTGCTTTAATCGATTCAAACTCGTGCAAAGCCTGTAAAAAGTGCGCTACAGCATGTCAGCCATTAGTCAAGGGATT